CTCCAGCGATCCTTCCGCCTCAGCCTTCCAAGCAGCCGGGATTACAGGCTTGCACTACCACGCCCGGCTGATTTTTTGATTTATTGTAAAGATGAGGTCTCGCTGCCCAGGCGGGTCTCGAACCCGCGGGCTCAGGCAATCCACTCACCTCAGCCTCCTAAAGGCACGGGATTACAGGCTGAGCCACCGAGCCCGGCTGAGACTGACTTCTTTTACTTAGCATAATGTGTTCAAGATTCATCTGTGTTCTAACATGTTTCAATACTTCATTCCTTCTTATTACTGAATAGTGTTCTATTATGTGGACATGCAGTAGTTTACTTATTGACTCATCATTGCATAGACATTTGGGTTGTTTTGTGTCACAGAATTATGGGGACTCTTGCGAATTCCTTGAATGTAAGTTCTTTTGCTTTGGTTTTGGTTTAATAATCACCACTTACACTTGCTTAAAGTTTATTTAAGGACACATTCTAAGTTCTCTGGCAGAAGTAGTAGTGATAAAATGAATGAACGTACTTTATTCAAGCTTTATCTTTTTCTCCTTTTGACATGTTTCGTTTTATTTCCTTCAAGTTAAAAAGGACTCAGAATCCGAGGAGGAGGTGGATGAGGATGAAGGTTCTGTCCCAGTTTTAGTAGAGAATGAAAGCTATGTGAACCTTAAGAAAAAGATGCCCAAAAGATATGACTGGCAAGCAAAGTCAGTATATGCTGAAAATGGTAAAATCTGCAAGCAGTTCCGAATAAAACAGGTAGGGGATGCTGAGGAAATGGCGGGCGTTGCCTCCCTGGTGTCTGGATGATGAATGGGGAGTTGGGAGGCTGTGGCCACCTTCCCAAGGATCCTTTATTTCTCTTTTACACTGAATGGTCAGTTTCTACGTGCTACAGCAACCTTGGATGCCTGTGCTAGATGATTTTGGAAAATCCTGTAGCTGGTAAATATCAAACATACACATAATACCAAATATTCTCAAAATCATGTCCCTTTGGTACTGTCATGGGCAGTCTGGAATGTGAAATGAATTTAGAACTGGACATGGTAGCATGCACCTGTAGGCCCAGCTACTCAGTAGGCTGAGACTGGAGAATGTCTTGAACCCAGGAGTGCAAAGCCAGCCAGGACAACACAGCGAGATTCTGTCTCTGAAAGCAAACAAACAAACAAATACTGTGATTTACATTAGAAAAGTTAGTATATAAAAAGAGAAGGATAAGGAGGAACTCTTACCCATTTCAAAGACTCATCAGATAAATAGTGTGTCCATGGTCACATAGCTCGTAAGTGGCAACATGGGAGTTCAAGCCAATTCTGTTTCTAAAGGACATGTTGGTTTTGCCTCATTCACACGATTATTTTAAAAAGAACTCATAGGCTGAGCATGGTGGCTCATGCCTGTAATCCCAGCTCTTTGGGAAGCCGAGACAAGAGAATTGCTTGAGACCAAGAGTTCAAGACCAGATTGGGCAACATAGTAAGGCCTCTCGTCTCTACAAAATAAAAATAATAAAAACAACAACGACTCATAATTGAACTGTGAGGGCAAAGAATAGGTAGAACAAAGCACATTGCTTAGCCAGTATGGGGACTGGATTAAATGCTGTCTAAGTGCTCTTCCAATTCTAAAGTTCTGTGAGTCTGATTTTCAACACAAATAACACATATAACATATATCTATCACATCTAGAGTGAAATACTCATACAGCAGCAAAGCATATATAAATCACACTGTAAATAATAAGATGGTAGAAACAAAAAATTGCATATTCAATTTGATCAGTGTGATATGTTTATATAAAAAATTATATGCAGGAAAGAGGCATATTACTATAAGTTTCTTATGGTATTCAAAGTGTAGCCTTAGTTTTAACAAGCAAGATAATGTTTATATCATTGGCCATTAGATGTAAAATTGATTTGCATAGTTGTAGTGATTGGCCAAAAAACTCTTTTTGAGTACTTTTTCTATTATTGATTTAGGTAAACATTAAACATCTGACATTATGTTAAGCTGTGCCGTCTGATATGGTAGTCCCTAGCCACATTTGGCTATTTAAATTTATATTCATTAAAATAAAAAGTCACTTCCTCACTGTTCACATTTCAGGTGCTCAGTAGTCTCATGTGGTCAGGGATTGCTACATTGGACAGCACAGGTATGGAACATTTCCATCTACACAGAAAGTTCTGTTGGACAGTCTGTTGCTGAAACTCTGGCTAGAAGATCTGGGTTGGTGGTGTACAAAAGGAGTTTGTTTCCCTTATAAGACTTTTCCGTTGAGTCAGATGTAGGAAAACTGTGGATTGTGCAGATTATGCTGACAGATTTTCTGAGCAGCCTTCTGACTACAGTCACCTATATCCAATCCCAACAAGTCTCTGCAGTCTTTGTCTCTGAACAAATTGTTAAAGAAAGTGAAGAAGTGAGATTCTGGATCCCAGATTCAGAACTTTGTGAAAAGTGATTAAAAGTAACCCAACTGATGTCTTATCTTTGATTTATCAGGCTTCCAGACAGTTCCAGTCAATTCTGCAAGAAAGACAGTCACTCCCTGCTTGGGAAGAAAGAGAAACCATTCTCAGATTGCTGAGCAAACACCAGGTGGTTGTCATAAGTGGCATGACTGGGTAAGAATGTGGTTTACTCACATGTGGCTTCAATCCATACACATATGGACTCTGGTCACCATAACCAGCTCTACTCCTTACAAACCTATAGCTGGTGTTACTTGTACTAGCAAATATTAAATAATATTTCACAGTGGCTATTATTGCAACTTCTACAGCCAAATTACAAGAAACAAACAAAACTCAGAGATTCATCTAGGAATTGATAGACTTTGCATATCGCCTTGAGACAATATAAAGCAAATGATCTAGCTGAAGATATTTAATGAGCCCCATATTTAAGCTTAAAGGATAGTTCTAAAACATTTAGCTTGAAGGCTTTTAATCTACATTTATTCTGATTTCCTTAAAGCTTTTAATTTTTAAGAACAACTTAAGGTGCATTATTCTTTCTCTTCACACTCTGTATGTTACACAAACCTATTTAGCAGAGGCAAGTTGTAGGCTTTATTTAGTTCTTTATTCAGGAGTATACAGTTTAATAATTGCAAATTAATGATAATGATTAATAATAATTACAACTTAATAATTACATTTGTGCCCACACTCACTGATAGAATAGTAATCTTGAATAGTCTAGTTTATCTCTTTAACTTCAGTCTTATTATAGCTAATTTAATACACATCAAAGGGAAAAATATAAAATACTTTAATAATCATAAACTAATACTCCTTTTTGCTAGGATTTATATGTTAAATTTACATTCCTAGAAATGTTTACAGACCTTAACCTGATGTCTATTCAATAGTCCTGATTTTACAAATGATACTAAACTATTGTCTGGCTGCCCTGTTAATCTGAGTGCAAATTTCTGGGATTTCTTGGCTCTAGGTGCTAAGTCAGTAGGTAGTTTTAGAAAATACATGAACAACTTTTATTCCAATTGACTTTGTCACTGTCCTCAATGCATATATGATTGCTTCTTTAGTTAACTAGCCCTTGAAAACTTCATTTCAGGACTTATTTGTTTTAACATACAGATGTGGGAAAACCACACAGATTCCACAGTTTATTCTGGATGATTCTCTGAATGGACCACCTGAGAAGGTGGCTAACATCATCTGTACCCAACCCCGACGAATTTCTGCGATCTCTGTTGCTGAACGTGTTGCTAAAGAAAGAGCAGAGAGGGTGGGTCTCACTGTGGGATACCAGATCCGGTTAGAAAGTGTCAAGGTGTGTACTCTCTGCTTATTTCCAGTTAACAGAAATGTACAAATTTTAGATATAAAGAGTCTTTGGGGTCAAGAGATTCATCGGCACTTTGGGATATATACTTTCAAGTTATTTTAAATTAATGACCATCTTTAGTAGGGCTGTAGTTCTTTTAGAAATATTTTGGTATAAGAACTCTTATTTGGACCTGGTGCAATGGCTCACTCACAAAATAATCTCAGCTTTTTGGGAGGCCGAGGCAGGAGGATTGCTTGAGCCCAGGCACTAAAGATCAGCCTGGGCAACATAGCAAGACCGTATCTCTACAAAAAAATTGGCCAGGCATGATGGCACATACCTGTAGTCCTAGCTACTCAGGAGGCTGAGGCAGAAGGATCACCTGAGCCCAAGAGGTCAAGGCTTTGCACAACTGTACTCCAGCCTGCTGGAAACAGAGTGAGACGCTGACTCAAAAAAAAAAAAAAAAAAAAAAAAAAAAAGAAAAGAAAATATAAAAGAGAACTCTTACTTGGTTGTACTGTATTTTCTCTGTAAAACTTTTTATTCTTTATTGGCAGAAGTGATCTAGTAAATGCTGTTTTGCTTTTGAATCTGGGACTTAATCCATTTAACCAAATAAGAAACAAATTCAGAATTAGTTTTATTACTCAGTGCCTTTTAGTGCTTTTTATGAAAATCTTAAAATTTTAATATGAAATAGAAAGGTTCCCAGGTGCAGTGGTTCATGCCTGTAATCCCAAAACTTTGGGAGGCTAAGGTGGGAGAATTGCTTGAGCCCAGGAGTTTGAGACCAACCTGGGCAACATAATGAGACCCTGTCTCCACAAAAAAAAAAAAAAAAAAAAAAGCTTAGCCCATTGTCGTAGTGCACACCTGTAGTCCTAGCTACTTGGGAGGTTGAAGTGGGAAGATCACTTGAGCCCAGGACTTTGAGGCTTCAGTGAGCTATGATCATACCATTGCACTCTTACCTGAATGACAAAGTGAAACCCTGACCCCCAAAATAATAATAATTATAATAATACTACTTAAAAAATAAGAAAGGCTTTTATTGTCTTGGCAAGAAACTATATACTTAGTATGGTTTCATATTAAATGGAACTGCTGGTATTTTCAGTATTCTTTATCTCTGTCCATTCAAGATAGCTTGGCAGTAAAGAGTCTCCTTTTTTTCAAAAATGTCATTAATGCTTTATGTTGCCGTCTTGTTTAAGTCCTCAGCCACCAGATTGTTATACTGCACCACAGGAGTGCTGCTGAGAAGACTGGAAGGAGATACAGCCCTCCAAGGAGTCTCTCATATCATTGTGGATGAAGTTCATGAGAGGACAGAAGAAAGGTAAGACCAAGACTTGCCCAGTGAACATCCACACACAGGGCTGGACACGTTTTGTTCTGCTTCCAATTCAGTTTCATAGAGCTAGGTATGGTAATTCAGGGAAGGCCTAAGTTAGAGAAGAGGAACTGCTTTCTTCATCTCCAGGGTCTGCAACACTAAAAGTGTCAGGAGAGGATGTGGTCATCAACAGAAGAGTCATCCCACTAGATGGAGTCATCCTGTTAGATTAGAAGGCATACCTCACACCGTCCTTGGCAGTGTGCTGAGTGCTGTGCTTAGGAAAAACACAGGTGTAAGGCACGCTGTAGCCAGGGGAGTGGTCAGTGTATGCTTTCTCCTGTGTTCATTTGGTCAGTCATTCTGTCCTGACATTCATTCATATACTATTGAGCCTGTATGACGTGCCAAGTGATAGATTGATTAGTTGCTGGGGATGCAATTATGGTCCCTGCTCGTCTCTTACAGTCTGGTAGGAAAAACAAATCATAAACAAGTAAACAGTTAAAAAAATAATTGCAGATGGGAATAAGTACAGTAAAGGAATAGGCAGAATGTTGCAGTTAGAGGAAGAGAAACATACATGGTCAGGGACCGTATCTCCATAGAAGGACATTTAAATTGGAGCTGAAGTATGACAGGTACTCCCATGTGACAGATGGGTACAGGGAAAGCATGTGTGCAGATAGTGCAGTGAGATGGTACTTTGTGAGTCCTGAAATGGAAGGAAGGCCAGCACAGCTGGTGGACGGTGAGCAAGGGGGAGGCGGCAGGAGGAAAAAGCAGCAAGAGCCAGATCTTCCAGGACCTCACGCTCCATGGATAATAAAGCATATGAATTTTATTTTATGAAATTAGAAGTTATTAAAGGATGAGGCATAAAACACAAATTCTCGCCAGGTGTGGTAATGCATGCATGTAGTTCCTGCTACTAGGAGGCTGAGGCACCAGGATCACTTGAGCCCAGGAGTTTGAGACTGGTGAGCCGTGATAATGCCACTGCACTCTAGCCTGGGTGACAGAGTGAGGCCCCAACTCAAAAAAAAAATCATAGTTTATCATGTGGATTATGACATAGAGCAGTTAAAAAAAGAATAATGAGAAAAAGAGAGAAGATCCTGTGGAAATTATAAGGTTTTCCCAAAAGATACTATACTATTATATATCTTAAGAAGAAGAAAGTCAGTATACTTGGTGGATTGATAGGAAAGCAGAAAAGAACTGATAGCAAAACTTAAAAATGAAAGACAACCCTAAAGAGAGGCCCCAGCTACTGCAGATTAAATGTTGTCAGGAACTGAACAGGGAAGACATACAAACAGAAGACTGTTAGAAGAAATAATATAACGTAGTGAGATCTCATCTCTACAAAAATAAAAAACTTAGCCGGGCATGATGGCATATGCCTGTAGTCCCAGCTACTTGGGAGACTAAGGTGGAAGGATTGCTTAAGCCCAGGAGGTAGAGGCTGCAGTGAGCTGGGATTTTGCCAGTGCCACTGCACTCCAGCCTGGGTAACAAAATGAGACCCTGCCTGAAAAATGAAAAAAAAAAAACTAGTAAATAAGAAATATGAGCCGGGCTCAGTGGCTCAGCCTGTAATCCCAGCGCTTTGGGAGGCTGAGGTGAGTGGATTGCCTGAGCCCGTGGGTTTGAGACCCGCCTGGGCAACTTGGCGAGACCTCATCTCTACAATAAATCAAAAAAATTAGCTGGGTGTGGTAGTGCGCACCTGTAGTTCCAGCTACTTGGAAGGCTGAGGTGGAAGGATTGCCGGAACCCAGCAGGTCGAGGCTGTGGTGGCCGGGAGCGGCCACTGCACTCCAGTCTGGGTGACAGAGTGAGACTCCAACTCAAAAAAAAAAAAAAAAGAAGAAAAAGAAATATGAAGCAATTAGAAACCAAAGGAAGCAGACTTAGATCAAAAGAAAAAGAAATAATTCCTAGAACAAGACAATAATAATTCTTAAATGACTATACAGATAGAATAGAAATCTTTTTTTTTTTTGAGTTGGAGTCTCACTTGGTCGCCCAGACTGGAGTGCAGTGGCCGCTCCCGGCCACCGCAGCCTCAACCTGCTGGGCTGCGGCGATCCTTCCACCTCAGCCTTCCAAGTAGCCGGAATTACAGGCATGCGCTACCACGCCCGGCTGATTTTTTGATTTATTGTAGAGATGAGGTCTCGCGGTCCAGGCGGGTCTCGAACCCGCGGGCTCTGGCAATCCACTCACCTCATAGAATAGAAATCTTTAAGGGACAATAATTTTTTTATAGAGACATCACACAACAATGGAGAAAAAATAAACAGTAATTAATGTCATGTTGCAGCTGTTGGAAATCAGTGTCTGGAAGAATAATTTTTTTAAACAAATTCACTGACCGACTTGGAAAGGAAACCAAGTAAAACATTGTACTAGGCTAATAGTATTCAAATGATTGGATTATAAAAATGAATTTTAAATTTTAGGAAAAATACTATCTGGTGTAATTTTGAAGAGAAAGAATGACTTTGCATTTCATAATATTTATGCTTCCACACACTTGAGAGGCAGAAACAGCCCTGGATCTGGTTCCTGTCTACAGTAATATTCTCAAAAAGAGAAAGATTTCTATAAAACTAAGGATCTATAGAATATGAACAGTTAAAAATTCAAAAATTTTCAAAATGATACTTTGCACATTGGAGAAGGACGTGCCAAACATTTACAAATGCCAGTCTTCAGGAAGAGGTGTATAAAGCATAAGAAAAAGTAAGGGAATATTTGCTAGCTATGATTGAAAAGACAGAAAATAGGAATAAAATCTAGAAACAAAGATCAGTAAAATCTGCAAACAAAGATCAAAAAATATAGGCAAGATTAAAGGGTGAATATAGAAAAATTACAGTTGTGTTAGTTAAAAGTTTAATAAATTTTCTGATCTTAAAGATATCATGATTATTCTAAAGCATTTAGTAGATACAAAAAAATACAAGAAGAAGAATCTCTGTATCCTACAAAATAACATGTAACTAGTTACATGTTAGAATTTTGGCCGGTTTTCTTCTGGGAGTGTATTGGAAATTAATGCAGTGGAGGGAGAGATGTATTTTCGCAAACACTATTAGGATTATATAATTTTGTGTGCTGCTTTAATTTAATAGCATGATAATGAACTATCTTTAAAATTATTAATAATTGCATTAGGAAATTCTGAAGTGTGGGTGTATCATAAATTATTTAACTATTTGCCTATTGTTGTTAGGTTATTTCCTTTTACCTTGAAAATGAAACAGTAATAGTAATAAATGTAATTAAATTAAGTTCTTTAAATTAAAGAGAACTAAGTAGTATAAGAACACATTCTCATTAAAAACTCACACAATACAGATAAAGTGAAAGTCCCTCCTAACACTCCTTACTCAGAGGTGGATACAGCAGTAAGATTGGTAATGTGTCCTTTTATGCATTGACTTAGACACTTACTTTGTTAGAAATGGTTACTTTTACTTTCTGACCTTTTTTCCTTACACAGATGACATATTCACTTAGTAAGTCAATGAATATTGCCCAAGCACTTACTATATCCCAGGCATTGTTCTAGATACTGGAGTAGTGAAGAAAATAGGCCAAAATTCCTGTCCTTGTAGAGCTTATATCCTAATGGGGAGCCCATTAATAAGAAAGATAAATAAGTAAAGTACAGGGTATATTAAGTGCTAAGAAGAAAACATAAAGCACAAAAAAGACAGTATGAAATGTAAGGGAAGGCCAGGCGCAGTGGCTCATGCCTATAATCCCAGCACTTTGGGAGGCTGAAGTAGAAGGATCACTTGAGCCCAGGAGTTCAAAACCAGCCTAGGCAATATAGCAAGACCTCATCTCCACAAAAAATGAAAAATTTAACTGGGCATGGTGGTGTGTGCCTGTAGTCCCAGCTACTTGGGAGACTGAAGCGGAAGATTGCCTGATCCCAGAAGGTTGAGGCTGCAGTAAGCCAACACCCAACACCACTCTGCCCTGGGCGACAGAGTGAGAACCTGACTTTAAAAAAAATAAAATAAAAACATAGGCAGGTAATCCCCAGATTCTAAGCATTTTAGACAAGAGATATTTACCCTGTAATAGTAAGACTTCATATCCAGGGAGTTGACATATTTTTCTATGAGTGCTACAATTAGTTTTATAGATGTCTTAAGCATTCCTTGGCTCAAAATATATTCAAAGTTATTACTTGTCATTTATCGAATCTGTATGATCCTCAAGTGTTGCTTTTATTTCTTCCAGTGACTTCTTGCTGCTAGTTTTGAAGGACATTGTACTGCAGAGGCCAAATCTTCAAGTTATTTTAATGAGTGCGACTTTAAACACTGAGCTCTTTTCAGAATATTTCAATTCCTGTCCAGTTATTACTATACCAGGTGATTAAAATGCATCAATAAATGTGTCATTCTAATAAGCAAATGTTATTAAATTTTGTTTGAGACATAAATAAATAGATATTTATACCTCTTTCTAAAGGAGAAGTGATTATAACAAATAAAATTATAGCCATATAGCGCAGTCAATAAGCAGGTAATGTATCTTGCTGGGAGATTTTAATTTTTTGTATGTGATTTTTTAAAGCAAGTCTTGGTTACTTAGGATTTCTAGCATTTTGCTGTGTTTAACATCAAAATGTGCATTTATGGTGGTAGTCTGTCAAAGAGGGAAGTTGTGTCTGTGTATAGTATATTTGTTCATTGCTGGATTTGGCTCAATTTCTAGATGTTGGTCCACTCTGGGAGAAATTGGATAGTCTGTTTTCTTTTGGTACTTCCATGGACTCATTGTGGAATTGACTTATCCTGAGCTTTGGTTTCTCTTTCTGCATTTGGATGTCAAAGGAACAATTTGGAAACACTGACTGATAAATAATAGTATAATTTGTTCTAGTTATAGAGAACGTTGACAGATTTAAGGAAGAAACTTTGTGCTTGATGTAGAATATGATTGCTGAATATTGGAAAGTCCCTGTGGGGAACATGGGAAGGGTGTAAAAGGTCTAACAGGTAAAAAGTCTTCTTAGCGAGTTGTCATTTCTCTGCCTACACTCTTCTGTTTTCTTTACTAACTGGAATCTACACTTTTCAATTTCTGTCATCAACAACTTCTTTTTAAATACTTTTAAGACCATGGAACAAATAGTACATTATTGTGCCAAGCTTTGTTTTAAAAGAATTTTGTATATATAAACTAAGATGGTCAAATGGGTGTTCTGAGGCTTTTTGTTTTATCTGCTTGTTTTTCTAGGTCGTACATTTCCTGTTGATCAATTTTTTTTGGAAGATGCAATTGCTGTAACAAGGTAAGGAAGATAATAAGGGTCTTTGAAAACAGAACTAATATTTTACCCTCAGGGTGCTAGGATACTAATACGTATGTTAGTCTGTCTTCTATTTTTTTTTTATACTTGATTGTAGCCAAAAGGCCATGAAACAATTTTCTTCTGATTTTTTTGTTTTGTGCAGTTTGTTTTCTTCTTTCTTTCACGAAACAGACTGCCAGTATTTGAATTCCTCTACTTATAACTGTAACTTTGGCAGGTAGTTTACTCTCTCTGTGCCTGTTTCATCAAATGACTAAAATGGCATATTAATAGCTACTACTTTATGGGTAGTTATGAAGATTAATGAATGAATTAATACTTAAGGGGGCTTAACTGTGCCAGGCACATAGCTCATGCTCTTATAAATGTTAGCTGTTATCATTGTTATTCTACCCTCTTGGAGTTTGCAGTATCGTCTGAGTGCTAAGATGTCTGCATAGGAATTTCAGGACTAGGTAGAAAATGGTTAAGTCCGTTGTATACAAACATTGCTCTCCTGTGAAAGCCCTCCTTCCTCTTCTTACTCTTTGATCTTGAGCATGTCCCAAGATTTTATCCTTGCACTCTTTCTTCTCACCGTTAAACTCACTCTTGGCTGCCTTCGGTTTACATGATGTCAGCTGTCATCTCTGTGCCAAAAATTCCCAGATCAATGTTTCCACCATTGACCTCTGAGCTGCAGAAGAAAACACCCTGATATCTGGCCCCTGAAACTAACTCAGATGTCTTCTCCTTTCCACTCCTTCCGTCTCTCACAAGCCACCCTCCTAGTTTCATGTTTATTTTGTGATACTATTTTCTCAAGCTGAAAACCCAGAACCAAATTTGAGTGTGCAGTAGGAATACTTAGGAAAAATAACTTTCAATAAGCTTCCTAAGTATTCCTTAGGAAAAATAACTTTCAATAAGCTTCCTAAGTATTCCTACTGCACACTCAATACTTAGGAAAAATAACTTTCAATAAGCTTCCTAAGTATTCCTACTGCACACTCAAATTTGAGTGTGCTTGAGTGTGCAGTAGGAATACTTAGGAAGCTTATTGAAAGTTATTTTTTGAGCCTTATTCTACTCCCATTGAATATAAATTTCTGAGGAAATCATTTTTAACTAATTTATCTGTCTTTTCTTTCTCATTCTTTCAAACTCCATAATTCTCTTTAAACATAGAATTGGTCCCATTCCTCCCTTCTTATAAACTTTCCTTGGTTCCCTATTACCCACACTCTGTGGACACTCTAGGCCCATGTCTTTTGACCCCAGCTGATGTCTAATTCCCATCCTACTTTATTCTCCTTTCCATAAGTTTTAACTCCATCCAGCTACTTGCTATTTCTCCAATATGCCCTAGTACCAGTACTACTTTATTTTTAGTAATGATGTGGTTTCTGCTCCCCCTTCCCTATCTAGTCATTCTTTAACACCCAAGTTGAATGCTACCTCCATGAAATTTCCTTTCTTCTATTAAAAATGAATTAATTCTTTACTAGAAGTCATGGTACTTTTTTGTGCTTTGAATGACATTTATTTCTGTCTGTCTTGCAGTGTGATGAGTTGCTTTGGTCTGTTCTTGCTCGTTTGTAGGTTTCTTGAGTGTATTCATTTTTATATACACCACTACCACCACAGTCCCTGGTACAAAGTAGATATTCAGCAAATGTTCAGTGAGCACATTAATGTTGAATATGAAAAGAGAGTATAACATTTCATGGAGGGAAAGGATTGGAGGAAGTCAAGATTCATGGGTTTTTAAACCTTTTTCATTTAAAAACTACAGTATACTTTCTGCAAATGAAATCTTACAGGAAATCATAAAGAAATGAGAGCTAAAAAAAGGAAAAGAAATGAGAACTAAAACAGGAATGTTCTGACTGAAAAAGCAGAGGACAAAGCCCCTTCTTGCTTACTCTGTGCCCACCCCTTACCTTTCCTTGTGGCTCTAAGGAAAATTTAAGACTCCAGAATAAAAGAAAAAAAAAAGACTCCAGAAAAAATAATTCAAACCATTTATCTAGGCTAATTTCCTAAACGATGAGAAAATAAAGTCTTCGGAAACTGACTTGTTAGACGCGTCGTGCCAGGCTGGTTGAGTTGTAGATCTAGAACTCACATCCAGAGCTTTTGGTTTCAAATCTAGTGATTTTTCTACTTTGCCATGATATCTAGTAGTATTATCATTAGCAAATACTAACTTAATTAGGAAGAGTTTTGAAATGTCTTGAGGAGGTTCTTATGGAGATGTTCAGTCAACAACTGGAAATTTGGATCTAAACTTAGTTGCAACAAAGAAGATTCCCAGCTGCCTGGGAATTATAATTGAAAGCAGGGGAATGGAGAAGATTACCAAAGAAGAAAATAAAACGAAGAGGGTGTCAATGAGGGTGCAGCCCACATGTTCTGTGCGTGCTCTTGTTCTTGGACAGGGCTTTTCTCTGAATTCCTAACTGGTTTTAAGATAGCATCAAAAGCATCGCAGTGTGGTCCCAACGAGAAATGGGGCGCAGCCAGCGGAATCCTAAGCTGGTGGAAGAAGGGCGCCCGACTGGGCAGAAGTAGAGCCATGCTCTGCTGAGGGAGCACTTGAAGCGGGTGGGCCCTTCACGCCTCACCAGGAGACCTATGACATGCGAGCACATCCCCTTGTCTTTCTTTCCCAGGTATGTGTTGCAGGATGGGAGCCCGTACATGCGTTCCATGAAACAGATGTCAAAGGAGAAGCTGAAAGCACGGCGCAGCAGAACTGCTTTGGAAGAAGTAGAGGAGGACCTGAGGCTCTCGCTTCACCTCCAGGACCAGAATTCTGTCAAAGATGCAGTGCCAGATCAACAGCTGGACTTCAAGCAGCTCCTGGCCCGCTACAAAGGTGATATTGTCTCCTGGGGGACATTGGAGTGATTCCAAAGATTTCAAGTATCGGTCCCCACCATAATTTGGAGGAGGACAAAGTATGACTCTTATCTCATAGTTACAATGCCTTTAATTCATCAGAATAACTTTACACTTAGAAAAATAGAAACTTAGCCGGGCTCGGTGGCTCAGCCTGTAATCCCGCGCTTTGGGAGTCTGAGGTGAGTGGATTGCCTGAGCCCGCGGGTTCGAGACCCTCCTGGGCAACTTGGCGAGACCTCATCTCTACAATAAATCAAAAAATTAGCCGGGCGTGGTAGCACACGCCTGTAGTTCCAGCTACTTGGAAGACTGAGGTGGAAGGATCACTGGAGCCCAGCAGGTCGAGGCTGCGGTGGCCAGGTGTGGCCACTGCACTCCAGTCTGGGTGACAGAGTGAGACTCCAACTCAAAAAAAGAAAAAGAAAAATAGAAGCTTGAATACATAGTTAGATTATAATTATTCATGTGTTTATCAGTTGTTTTTTTCTGATGATAAAAGAATTATATGTTCATTGGAGAAATATTAGGAGGCTGTAAAATATAAATTAGATTCTTGAGTACTTTGTAACTTTTTATTTTGATGAGATTTCAAACTTACAGAAAGGTTCACAAGACTATTCAGTCAACTCTCATATATTAACATACCCTTGTCCCTGATCCACCAACTGCTCATACTTTTCTCATTTGCTTTATCGTTTCCTCCGTGTATATTTTTTTCCTGGATCTCCTGAGTAAATTGCAGATTTGAGGCCCCTTTACCCCAATACTAAATTTAGGATGTATTCCCTAAGAACAAGGGCATTGCCTTACGTAACCGCAGTACGGTGATCAAAATGAAGACATTTAACAGTGATATAACACCACTATTTAATCTACAGTCCCTACTCGGATTGTGCCAGAACCTCAACATGTACATCACTGTGGTTCAGGGTACTACCATGGGTCTGTATTGCATTCTGTCATGTGTCCTTGGTCTCTGTAGATCTGGAACTGCTCCTCAGCCTGTATTTGTCTTTTAAGACTTTGACATTTTTAAAGATTATTTTGTAGACTGTCCTATCGTTTGGGATTATCTGATGTTTCCCCATGATTGAATTTAGGTTCTGATTTGGGGCTGGAATACTACAGAAACAGTATCGGGTTCTCAGCACGTTATATCAGGAGGCACCTGGGCACATGATGTTGGCTTGTCCCATTATTCATGATATTAGCCTGACCAGTTGGTGAAGGTGATGTTGGCTAGGTTTCTTCCCTATGCAATTGTTATTTGTTCGGTTTATAGGTAATTTGTGGAGAGATATTTGAGACTTTTTTTTTTTTTTTTTAGTCAGAGTCTGTCACCCAGGCTTGAGTGCAGTGACACACTCACAGCCACTGCAACCTCGACCTGCTGGGCTCAGGCAATCCTTCTGCCTCAGCCTTCCAATAACTGGAACTACTGGCATGAGCCACCATGCCCGGCTATTTGAGACTATTTAAGTATCCTGTAATATCCCACTAGTTTTAGTGTTATTTATAGGTTTGTTTTTTGTGGGTTTTTTTCAAACAAAGTTTATTTGAGAAGGAAGAGAGAAAAGAAAGGGAGACATGCCAGAGCTGGCATGAGTGAGAGAACTACTTATTTATGGGTTTTTAAAAGAACTTCTAGCCGGACACAGTGGTTCATGCCTATAATCCCAGCACTTTGGAAAACCGAGGCAAGAGGATTGTCTGAGCCCAGGGGTTTGGGACCAGCCTGGGCAACTTGGTGAGACCTTATCTCTACAATAAATCAAAAAATTAGTCATGCGTGGTGGCACACAACTGTGTTTCCAGCTACTTGAAAGACTGAGGCAGAAGGATCACCTAAGCCCAGCAGTTTGAGATTGCAGTGGCCATGAATGTGCCACTGTACTCTAGCCTGGGCGACAGAGGGAGACTCCAACTCAAAAAAAAAAAAAAACCATCTTGTGGGGGTCTACACTGCGCTGAGCTTTTATACACGTTAGGTGCTCCCTCCTCCCATGCCAAACTCCAGCCAACTCCCCTTTGTTCCCATGTGGTCTTCTACTTGTGTAAGCTGGGCTGAACCCAAGGAGACCCCAAGATTACCACTTTACTTTCTTCCTTAAAGCCTAGACTAGAGACAGGTCTCAGCTGCCCCTGCTGCTTTCTTTCCCTGGACTGCCAGCCCTGTTCCTCTTAGTTCTTCCCAAGAAGGGGTATTTACCTTTCATGAGTAAGAGCTTTCAATACGCATCACTACTTATGGAAGATAAGGGGCAAGGGAATTTTCCTTTTTCTTCTTCCACCAAAGACTGTTCCCAGTTTTGGATGAAAATGTAATCATCAAGGAATTAAGGCATTAGCCTTAATTGCTCTGTTATTTAGGAAGAGATGCATAGCCCCCAAACATGGTTTCATTCACTCTTCCACATATTCTGAGACGTAAGGTTAACAGAATAGACTTATATCTTATAGACCTGGGTTCAACTCTGAAGGCTCTCGTAAGACCAGCTGAAGACTTTGAGCAAGTTCTTTATCCTCTCTGTGCCTCAGTTTCCTTACCTATAATATGGAGTTATTTAGAGGATAAATACGAGAATACAAACCCACAAGAATAGTGCCCAGCTAGTAAGTACAGATTTGTGATTCTAATTAAAATATGTCTGGCTCAAAAATTCATGTGCTTTTTGTACAGCAAACAATTCTTGTTCTTTTTGTACATCAAAAAGAAGCTGATAACTCCCATTTCTTTAGTAAATTATGGAACAGGAAAATCTCTTTGGTTTCTTGTTCAAAATTTCAGAATTTTCTTTAAGAGTGATGACTGACTCTAAGCCATGCCTTTCTAATTTCAAGCACAGAGGTTACTAAAGCTCAGAAAGTACCTTTGGGACCTCCTTTCTAAGGAAGGAGAATAGGGAGTGGAGGTTGGGAGAGAGGCCCTGCTGCTGGCCTCTGTGTGATGCTGGGCTGATGGCTTAGCTTTGCTGAGCTTCTGGTTCTGTCTTTTTTTTTTAAGTTTCGATCTAGTTGATCTCAGTGCTCTCTTTCACCTTTCAGAAAATTAAGTAATGTTCCTTAGCTTAGTTTTAAATACTTTTTCTAGTGTTTTTTGTTTTTTTTAAAAAGGCAATCCTAGCTGGGCTCAGTGGCTCAGCCTGTAATCCCGCACCTTTGGGAGGCTGAGGTGAGTGGATTGCCTGAGCCCACGGGTTCGAGACCCGCCTGGGCAGCGAGACCTCATCTCTACAATAAATCAACAATTAGCCAGGCGTGGTAGCGCATGCCTGTAATTCCAGCTACTTGGAAGGCTGAGGCAGAAGGATTGCCAGAGCCCAGCAGGTTGAGGCTGCGGTGGCCGGGAACAGCCACTGCACTCCAGTCTGGGTGATCGAATGAGACTCCAACTCAAAAAAAAAAAAAGACAGTCCTGCCAGTCACGGTGGCTCACACCTATAATTCCAGCACTTTGAGAGGCCAAGGTGAAAGGACTGCCTGAGGCCACAAATTTGAGACCAGCCTGGGTAACTTGGCAAGACCTTGTCTCTACAATAAGTCAAAAAAATAGCCGAGCATGGTGGCACGCACCTGGGGTTCCAGCTACTTGGAAGGCTGAGGTGGAAGGATCACCTGAGCTTAGGAGGTCGAGACTGCACTAGCTGTGATCATGCCACTGTACTCCAGCCTGGCGACAGAATGAGACTCTGACTCAAAATAACTAACAAATAAAAGGCAGTCCCTTTAAGTATAAAACTGATTCGTTAAAACTGCTAGACTGTAAATTTTTTTTAATGATTTTCTTTCTTTTTTTTTTTTTGAGTTGGAGTCTCACTCTTTTCCCCCAACTGGAGTGCAGTGGCACACTCCCAGCCCCCGCAGCCTCGACCTGCTGGGCTCTGGTGATCCATTTGCTTCAGCCTTCCGAGTAGCCAGAACTACAGGCGTGTACTACCACGCCCAGCTAATTTTTGATTTATTGTGGAGACGAGGTCTCGCCATGTTGCCTGGGCAGGTCTCGAACCCTCAGGCTCAGGCAGTCCACTTGACTCGGCCTCCCAAAGCACTGGGATTACAGGCTGAGCCACCAGGCCCAGCCTAAAATGATTTTTAATTCTCTGCATTTTTTCAGTTAGCAGATCCCATTCCTCTTTGAAAAGTCTGGTTTTTTGGAATATTGGCAAAGAAAAGCGCCTCCCACTCTGCCTGCTTCGCCCAGCCACGGCCTTGTTTGTGCAGCCTGTTTCTTCCTTTCCATTTTGACCAGCTTGGGATCCACTCCACTAGGACACATTGTTCAGAAACTGCTTCTGTCCTTCAGATTTCTCAGCATACTATGGAAGCTTCTCTTCCTGGATACCATCTACCGTTCGTTTATTCCAGTTAGGCTGCAGTTAGGGTATGGGCCATAGGAGGACCTGAGAAGTGTTTGAAGATTAGACACCTCAAGAGTTGAGGCTTGTGGTATAACCCACAGAACTGTATCTTTTACTAGGCATGGATATCTTAGAAGGATATCTTAGAACTGAGAGTCTGTGCATAGACTTCAGAGGTGTTGGTGAGGTGAAGCTCATTAAAATCTTACATGTTTTTCAGGGAAGATTCATAACTTACCATTTTCTCAAAGTAACTCAAAGGTTAAGAGTCATTCTTATGCAGATGCTGGTGAAAGCTGTGGTCTCTGTCTGCTGATTTCCGTAGGTTATTGTTACCTGGACTTCCAGCTGATCTCACTCATGATTTGACTGAATCTGGAAAGCATTTCTAAAATGTATTTTGACTTTGAATTTTGCTTCCAGGACTTGAATTTTCATAAACGTGTGATAGGTGAAAAAGTAGGGTTAAAGGTGTCCCATCTGGTAGCCAAGCACAGTGGCATGTGCTTGTAGCCCAGCTACTCAGAAGACTGAGGCAGGAGGATTTGCTTGAGTCCAGGAGTTTGAGGCTGCAGTAAGCTATGATTGCACCCTTATACTGCAGCCTAGGCAGTGGAGCAAGATCCCTTCTCTTGGTGGGGGGGGGAGGGGAAAGTGGCTCATTTAGGCCTTTCCAACAGGGGCAGGAATCTGCTCTTCGGGTCATTGTTCAAACAAAAATTACTTCTGGTGAGACTGTATTTCTTGAGAGACTAAAAGAAAGAAGTTCATTTTAGTACATTAAATATGAAAATCTGTTTTACTAAATCAAAGTAGCACTCACCTGGTTCACAGGCATATTGTCTTCAATAAAGTAAAATTATTCTCCTGATTTTTACCTTTCTTCCAGGAGTCAGCAAGGCAGTCATCAAAACAATGTCCGTTATGGATTTTGAAAAGGTTAATCTTGAATTAATAGAGGCCTTACTAGAGTGGATTGTGGACGGAAAGCACTCCTACCCTCCAGGTAACTGCTGCTTCATTCAGGCGGGACTGATCCACAGATTAAACACTAGGTTCCTGGCTAAATGGGAGTCCAGTCATGAGTGTTTGGATCACATGCAATCTCCTTGCACACAAAGACCATGGAGAAGTGGGTTAAGAGCACAAGCTTTGGAGTCTGATAAACTTCCCAGCTCTGCTATTCAAGGAAACTTGTAACCTTGGATAAAGTCCTTATCTTTTCTGTGCATCAGTTCCCTTGTTGTAAAATGAAGATAGTAATAAATCCACTTACATAAAGCTATTTTGAGGATCAAAGGAAACTATCTGTAAAGCACTTAGCACAGTGTCTGGCATATAGTTAAAGCCCAGTAAATGCTACCCCTAATAATAATACTGTAATTATAATAATACGGCTGACCCTTGAACAACACTGGGGTTAGGGACACCAACCCCTGCATAGTCAAAAACTGGGTATAACTTTTGACTCCCCCAAAATGTAACTACTAATTGCCTACTGTAACTGGAAGCCTTACCAATAACAAACAGTTGAAAAACACATATTTTATATGTTATAGGTATTCCATACTGTATTCTTACAATAAAATAAGCTAAAGAAAAGAAAGTGTGGCCAGGCTTAGTGGCTCAGCCTGTAATCCAGCACTTGGGGAGGCCGAGGCGAGTGGATCACCTGGGCCCATGGGTGTGAGACCCACCTGGGCAACTTGGTGACACCTTGTCTCTACAATAAATCAAAACTAAGCTGGGTGTGGTAGCGCATACCTGTAGTTCCAGCTACTTGGAAGCCTGAGGCAGAAGGATCGCCGGAGCCCAGGAGGTTGAGGCTGCGGTGGCCGGGAGCGGCCACTGCACTCCAGTCTGGACGACAGAGTGAGACTCCAACTCAAAAAAGAAAAGAGTTATTAAGAAAATCATAAGGAAGAAAAAATATATTTGCTGTTCATGAAGTAAAAATGGGTCATCATAAAGATCTTCATCCTCATCGCCTTCATGTTGAGTAGGCTGAAGAGGAGGAAGAGGAGGGTTTGCCCTGATGTCTCAGGGTGACCAGCAGAAAAGGTGGAGAAAGTGAGAAGGTGGGAGGCAAGAGAGGCAGGCATCACTCCGTGTACTTTGTAGAAATACATCATAATATTGGCCTGACTTTTCTTTTTCGTTTTTCTAAAAATGTTTCTGAAAGTACCAGACCCCTCATCATTTGCTTTAGTTTCAGTGCCCATCGGTCCATGATATAAAAGAAGTGAAAAGCAGTCTTGGGTAATCAGAACCCTTCTGCCCGATTGCCCAATGCCAATTTCTTTCCTGGCACTACTGCTTCTCCTCTTCTTCACCATCTCGCTGGTTTGGAAGCACTCATCTTCATCAAGTTGTCTTCTGCTAATGCCTCTGGTGTAGCATCTGTAGCTCTGGAATTTCTCTAAGAGTTGTATCTTGAAATCCTCACGAACACTCCTAGTCTTTTATCTACAATCTCTTTCATGATTTTCTTCAACTCTATTGTAAATCCTGTGAAGTCATGCACATCTGGACACAGTTTTCTCCAGCAGGAACTCTGTTTCAAGTTTGATGGGTCTCACAGCTTTTTCTATTACAACAATAGCATCTTCAATTGTGTAATCCTTCCAGACTTTCATGATGTTCTATCTATCAGGGTTCTCCGTAGCATTGACAGTTCTAACCATAGAGTACCATGTGCACTGAGCCTTAAAGGTCCTTATGATCTAAAGGCTGAATTGAGAGTTGTGTTTAGGAGTAAGTAGAACACTTCACTGTCTTCGTTGTATGACTCATGGCATTCTGGGTGGCCAAGGGCGCTGTCAAATATTAAAAAACTTTGAAAGGCAGTTCCTTACTGGTAAGGTACTTCCTGACTTCAGGGACAAAGCATTGGCAGAACCAGTTCAGAAAAGCAGTTCTCATCGTCCAGGACTTCTTGTTGTACAACCAGAAGACTGGCAGCTAGTGGTTATCATTTCCCTTCAAGGCCTAGGGTTGGCAGCTTTGTAGAAGGGCAGTCCTGATCATAAACTAGACTGCATTTGCACAAAACAGTAGAGTTAGCCTATCCCTTCCTGCCTTAAATCCTGGTGCTCACTTCTCTTCCTTACTAATAAAATGCCCTTCTGGCATTTTCCCCCCTAGAATTGGGCTTTTATCTGCATTAAAAACCTATTCAGGCAGTGATCCTCAGTGATTTTCTAAATGACATCTGGCAACTCATCTGCTGCCTCTCAGAGAGCCAGCAGAAATAGCTTCTCTTGTTACTCTGATATTTATTAAGCCAAACCTCTTTCTAAAATTATCAAACCATCCTTTGCTGGTATTAAATTTTTTAGATATTGATCCTTCACTTTTTTGCTTTAAGTTGTCATATAATGACTATGCTTTTTCTCAAGTCATGTTAGAATCTATGGGTGTACCTTATAGCAACCCTGCACTCACATAAAAGCTGCATTTTCAATGAGATTCATAGGTATTCTGCAAAAAGCACACGGTTTTTCTACCTGCTGGTGTAGCTGCAGTGATGACTGCAATGGGCCTTACACTGGATTCCTCTGTCTTGAAATGACAGGCACCCACAGCTGCAGACCTCAGTCTACAGTACATACCAAGCAGTTTAACTTGTTTTTGTAATGTCATGACTTCTTGGCTTCATTTTTTTTTTTTTTTGAGTTGTAGTCTCACTCTGTCACCCAGGCTGGAGTGTAGTCGCTTGTTCACGGCCACAACCTGCTGGACTCAGGCAATCCTTCTGCTTCAGCCTTCAAGCAACTGGAACTACAGGCGTGCACCACCATGCCCACCATGCCCAACAAATTTTTATTTTTATTTATTTTTATTTATTTATTGTAGAGACAAGGTCTTGCCATGTTGCCCAGGCTGGTCTCAAGCCCCATAGTGCTGGGATTACGTGCATGAGCTACCACACCCGGCTTTCTCTGCTTCTTAGAAGCACTTTCAGCATCACTAGTGGCACTGAGTATGGGTCGCATGGTGTTATTCAAGGTTTATGGGATAGCACTAAACGCATTAAAAAACATGTAAACCAGGAGAGGTTACTTTTTACTGAGATATGCAATTTGCTGGAGAGGCAAACTACACACACGGGGATGATTAATGTCACAGTACGTTTTAAGTGGACACTCGCAACATATGAGCTCACCACAGTAGCAACAGGAAGTGACTATGAAATTTTTTAAAATAAAATTATTATGGTAGTATAGTGTGTATGCTACAGTTAATTTTATGCATTTTTATATTCATTTACGTTTGTGTTGACTGGCTGGCACCCTGTAGGTCTGTGTTTATATCTGAAGTTTTGATAAATTTTAACTTTTCATAACAGATTTGTGTATATTTTATGATAGCAAATGATAAAATAGACAAGTATCTAGGTATATGGAGATTTACATTTATGGATTCGTGACATACCTAACTTTTTCTTAATTTTAAATATATTTCTGGGCTACTTAGTTCATCTGCTAGCTTTTTCAAATTGTAGCAAATCTCCAAAATAGTTTTCATCTTTATTTATTTATTTTTTTTTGAGTTGGAGTCTCACTCTGTCGCCCAGACTGGAGTGCAGTGGCCGCTCCCGGCCCACGCA